TATATATATATATATATATATATATATATAAAAAAACAAAAACAAAAGCAGGCAATAAATGTAACTCACACACTTCAGACATACAGCAATCACAAACGTCAGCAACAGATACTCCTAAAAGCCGCAGTGAGCCATAGTTATGGCAGTCACTGAACAGGTAGTCCGTATAGCTGTAAACAAGAACCTGCTATTTACAGTATATCAAATCAAAAATGTAATATCGAATTGTATATAGATGACATTTTACCAATAAAAACAAATGCATGATTTAATCCAGTGGTGTTGATTGCCCTCTTGTGGTTATCATTGGCATTGCTGTAGTGCTTTGTTTAATCAACCCCTTCCTTTGTCATAAGCATTAACCATTCTCTTCATGTGAAATAGTTTGTTTCGGAGCAGTTTGGTTTCACTCTTCTTTGTTTGGTAATCAGGAGTCTGGATAAAGTAAAGTAAATTAATAACAGGCAGGTTTCACAGAGGGAATCAGGGATATACAATAGTATAAGCTATGGGTAACCCAAACTAGTGTATTTCCCCAATTCTTGGTATTCATGATATCCCCTTTTGTAAATTTAGGGTGGATTTCCTTTTTTGGGGGCTAATATATTTCTTGTGATTGAGGTTTTACAGAGAGCCACAAAGGGATTACAAACCTTCAAGTGAAAGTTTGCAAGTTTAAAGTGCTAAAGGCTCCTCAATGACAGTGTAAACAAGTGCTAAATCCAGTTACTATGTGGTGCACAAGCCTCATAAAGTAAACAAAACAGTTCCTTTACCTCCCCTTACTGAGCCAAATCCTCCTTCATTTGTGTCTCACACACTCCCCTCCCAAACACTGCAGCTCACAGTGGAGGGGTCTATCCAGAAAACTGTGGGTACGACTAGGTGTGGCCAGGTGCTGACTGACAAGATACAGGCTTGTGAATCAGCAGTGACAATACAGATAGCTGCCCCCTGAAACATTTTTTCTACCCACTGCAGTGCATGTATAGATTCTCATTATCCAGGTCATGCTATAGCTAGGAGCAGTTAGTCACATTCATCTGAACATGTTCTGTAATCCTGAAGATGTTTCGCAGCTCATCCAAGTAGCTTCTTTAGCTATAATAATAATAATAATAAGGAAACGTCTTCAACATTACAGACCAAGTCCAGATGGATGTAACTAACTACTACTAGCTGGCTGTTTTAAAGAGTCTCATACAGCAAAACACCTACATGAATGGACTTTGATGAAAGCAGGTATTCCTTCACTTTTTTTTTTTGTAGAATATTTCTTTATTATTTCCAATACATACATAGTATAAACATACAAACATTCCTGTTAAGAGACCACCATATACTAAAACCATTCTTTCCCTTGAGGATCTCCGCTAAAATGAAGAAAAAAAAAACCAAAAAAAAAAACCCCTCCCAACCCTAAATCAACAAATAAAAAAAAAAAACAATACCCCCACTCTTCCCTCTCCTCCCCACTCTGAAGATCGGACAGATAGGCCCATATTCTCTATACGTACATAATAGCAATATCAAAATGTATCCATGGGTTCATGTCATCAAGAATTGTGGGTACCTATCCTGTGATCGCTCTACTAACTCCTCTATCCTTCTCAGAAAATTAATTTCTTTAACCCAATCATTAATTTGCAGAGTATCTTGAGACCTCCAGCTATTACCGTTCTTGCGGCAAATAAAAAAAATCGGAATAGACCTTTCTTAACTTCTTTAATTGGACCTGATATAATAGTCAATATCGCGATCTCAGGTGTAAGAGATCCCTGAACCTTGATAAGATGTACACCTATCTTGTAAACCATTTCCCAGGAAGGTTGGATCTCTTGACAGGACCACCATATGTGTAACATAGTGCCTTTCCATTCATCTTTTGATAGTCTATAGCCCAATTCTGATTCCCATCACCTCACATAGAACGGTCTATCGGGGAAAGCTTGAGTCAGGAGAATTTGATATACTGTATCTTTGATCATTTATAGGTATTCCTTCACTTGTGCTACATTTAGCCCCTGGACTTGTGCCCCAAAACTAGCATGCTGCAAATGTCTGCTTGCCTCATATCCTAATTGTATGTAATTTACATTGTAACATTATCTCTTTAAAGAATGAAATCAGGAGGCAAGTTTGATTTTACATGAGAGTGAGCCACTTACTCTTTTAATGTCTTTGAGCCTGTTGTACTCCTCTGCCACCCCCTGCAATCACAAACACCAAGTAGAATAAGTGAAGATACCAATAGGTTAGGATACAAATACAAATTACACAGAGGCTTGTAGGATGATATGTATTTATAACCATAATTATAATGGCAAACGGTCCTCAAAAACTTTTCATTTATGCACATTTAAAATGTCTGCCCTTGTTCTTTAATGGAGCAGTTTCCACTAAATGTGTTTTATGGTGTTCTCTCAACCTTCTGCAAGTAGCAATTTGGGTGTTCATATTTTCAACCCCCCCACTCCCAACCTTTTCATTGTGATTGATAGCACAACTGCCCCCGCACCCATGCCAAGGTGCTAGGTGTAGTCCTGGACTCTGACCTCACCTTTCAGCCCCACATCCAATCACTATCCAAATTCTACCACCTTCACCTCCATAACATATCTCCAAAATACATTCCTTCCTCACCAATGAAACCACAAAGCTACTAATCCACTCACTTGTTAACTTTCACCTCGACTGTTGCCACTCTATCCTTATTGGCCTACCTCTGCACAGGCTATCCCTTCTTCAGTCTTGAATGTTGCTGCCAGGCTCATCCACCTCGCCAACCCCTCAGTATCTGCAACCACTCTCTGCTAATCCCTCCACTGGCTTCCAATCACCAAAACAATAAAATTAAAAATATTAACCACTTACAAAGCAATCCACGGCTCTGCCCCCAGCTATTTTTCCAAACTCGTCTCAACCTAGAGTCACTCCTATCCTCTGGAACTCCATACCCCAACCTGAAAACTCATCTCGTCAGGCAAGCCTATCCTACCTCTACCTAACCACTAAACTATCACTTTCTCCACACAAACTACCACCATTGGTATCACTTGCCCCTCCTTTTTAGATTATAAGCTCTGATGGGCAGGGCCCTCCTAGCCATATTTGTTTTGAATTGTTTTGCAACTGTAATGTCTTTCTTATATTATAAAGCGCTGTGCAAGCTGTTGGTGCTATATAAATCCTGTATAATACTGGTATTAATAATAATAATTTCCATAGAGTTCAGTGTTAGGTGTCCTCCAAGGACGCTTATCACCACACCTAAACTGCATATTAATTTTGATTATAATGTATCGCTCTAGACGCACAATGAAGCAAATAATTTACAGCTGATTATTTGCGGTACCTGATACTGAGCAGTGCCATCAGTAAGTCCATCCAGTTGTTTGCTGAGTTGTTGTAGTTGGGTGTTAATATCATCCATTTCTGCACACATCTTCTTGTACTTCCTGAGGTCAGAATCAAACTCTCGCTTATACTCCTGCCGTCGAATGTCTGAAGTGATGGGTGGATATACACTATATAAAGAAAATTCCAGTAGATTATTATAAAAATGTGCAAAAAAAAACAATCAGCAATATTTTATAAATTTTTGAATTGGGTACATGAAAGAGGATAATGTTGCAGATTTTGAGGCTATTATGATAATGCGAAAAAAGAATCCTGATAGCACCCACAGCAACCAATTACCAACAATGTACTCCCTGGCCTCTGAACTTTGGTCAGGTGGCTTAGAAGGGCCAATCATGGGAGTTTTCTTATGTGCAGCCCCCCTCTCTGACTATAAAAGTCAGTGTTCCCGGCAGCCTTTGTTCAGTGTGTGTTGGAAGAGCCATGGAGTAGTTAGATAAAAATCACAGACTGCACTAATTTTGGTTCATGATTGCTGAAAACATCTATATGTACATTGACTCACAGACACACTAAGAGCATTTTGTACAGTGGTATAGCAGATTAGAGAGGGATTTTAGATTGTTTCCAGGCACAGTCAGGTGCTGATTTTCTCATAAATGTTGCAATTTACATAACATATCATTTAAATTCACTATAATATTTGGGGGGCTTTTATCAGTGGAAAAATACATGGTAATGTTTGTTTTATTAAAAGCTGTCTGGTATGGGTCCTGTTCACAAAGCGGCCTAGTCATAGTGTTTAAAGACTGATTTGGAAAAATTCTCCAATTCAGCTCACTTTCCAGTTCAACTATCTTGTCCTGCCTTCTCCAAACTCTTCACCCTTCTGTGAATAACCCTGTTGGTTCTATTTGTACTAGATTACTGATGTGCAATGAATACAGGGTCCTCTTGCACTCGAGGGTAAGAGCCATTGTATTTTTGTATTACTAGTTTCAGTTCTGGAAGGAACAACCTTATGGAAATTATCCTCTACCTTTCCCTTTTTTCCACTTCACTTCTTCTTTTTATCTGTCTGGTTCCAGTGTTTGCAAAGGCTTACCTGTCCCATTCCCCTACATCTCTTTCATCTCCAGATTCAAATGCTGTTGTATAATCTGTTTCATACTGAGACTCATCAAGCTCTGGATTCCTCCTCCATCTACGACCCCTGCGGACCAGAGGTCTGCTCGTGCTCTGCTCCTGGGTCTCAGAAGCTGATATAGGTGGGCTGAATAAGGATAAAGATACATAGCAGATAAATGACAGGTCATAGTCAATTATCTAGCATAGACAAATCAAAATATTGTACATACCGACTGTATCTAACCTGGTAATAAAAATACTAAAACAAATTAGAAATCAATAGACATGTGCACTGCCAAAAAATTTGTTTAGTTTCGTTTCGTTTTAAATTCGGATTTGTGTTATTTTGTTTTTCGGGATTCGGGTGTGAAAGTCAATTCGGATTCGGATTCTGACGAAATTCGGTAGCGGTAGTTCGTTCGAACGTTCGTTTCGTTTTCGTTTCTTATTCGTTTCGTTCATCCGTTCGTTCGTTAGCAGCAAAGTGACATTTGAGGGGGAAAAATGTTTTTCTCCTTCTCTAATGTCACTTTGCTCCAACGAACGAAACGACTAAGAAACGAAAACGAAACGAACGTTCGAACGAACTACCGCTACCGAATTTCGGAAACGGAAATTCGGATTCGTTTGCATTCGTTATATCTGTAATTCGGACATTCGGATACATCCGAATGTCCGAATTTCCGAAAATTCGTCCGAATTTCCTAGAAATCAATATACTCTCCAATCTGGGGAATCAAACTACAGTAAACTCTCTGTTATCCGGTATTCAACTAACCAGAATTCTCATCTAACCAAAAAAAAAAAAAATCCCCTGTGTACTCATTGTTCTGCTGATCTGCAGCATGTATTATACTGGAAACGATCTTGTGCCTATTTGTCTTAATTTTGTTTTAAGTGTGCCTATTCATCTTACATAGTTACATAGTTACATAGTATTTGAGGTTGAATAAAGGCACAGGTCCATCAAGTTCAACCTATTGCGTGTATGCATGTGATTCTGCATGTGTATGCATGTGTATGAGTCTCTGTGTGATCTTGTTGTTTTGATTACTGCATTTCATTAGTAATATGAAGTCAGTGCAGAGTCTATGTTATTGTATGGTATAGTATGGCATTAGTTAGACCTATTTTTAATAGTAACTCTCAAGCAACCAGAAAATACATTTATCCGGAATCTACCAATCCCTGTGGATGCCGGATAATGGGGAGTTTACTGTATTTCACTTATTAACACAATGGATCTCATATTCTGAATGTTCCTTACAAAATGCAGCAAGGATGTGTGCTATAGCATTTTAGTATGGCATTAGATCCTAGTTGTCATCCTTGACTCGGACTTCACCTTTCTTCCCCACATCCAATCACTATCCAAATCCTGCCGCCTTCACCTTCGTAACATCTCCAAAATACGCCCCTTCCTCACCAATGAAACCACAAAACTACTCATCCACTCCCTTGTTATCTCTCGTCTGGACTATTGCAACTCCCTCCTCATTGGCCTTCCACTACACAGGTTATCCTCCCTTCAGTCTATCATGAATGCAGCTGCCAGACTCATTCACCTAACCAACCGCTCAGTGACTGTAACCCCCCTCTGCCAATCCCTACACTGGCTTCCTATAGGCCAAAGGATAAAATTCAAAATATTAACAACCACTTACAAAGCCATCCACAACTCTGCCCCCGGATATATCTCAAACCTGGTCTCAAAGTATCACCCTAACAGTCCCCTCCGCTCTTCCAAAGACCTCCTGTTTTCCAGCTCCCTCGTCAACTCCTCTCATGCTGGCCTCCAGGGCTTCACTAGAGTCTCTCCCATCCTATGGAACTCTTTACCCCAACCTGTCCGATCTCCCACTCTGACTGCCTTTAGGCGATCCCTTAAGACTCATCTCTTCAGGGAAGCCCATCCCACCTCAAACTAACCACTGAACCATCAGGTTCTCAAACAACCCACCCCCACGCTGCTACCTCCTCATGTATCACTTGCCCCTCCCTTTTAGATTGTAAGCCCTCAGGGGCAGGGCCCTCCTTACCATCTTGTCTTGAATTGTATTGTGATTGTAATGTCTTCCTAATATTGTAAAGTGCTGCACAAACTGTTGGCGCTATATAAATCCTGTATTATAATAATAATAATAATATGAGATTTTAGATACACTTAGGTATACTTTTGAACATCTCAGCCAAGAAAAATAATTTCACATTATATTTTTTTAAATGTTTTTAACGCAGTCAAATTCCACTTGACACAAAGGGGAAATTTCCCTAAAGGAGACAAAAAGTGAATTAAACTGGAAAAAGGATCTACATTCTCAATTTTCCGAAATAGCACTTATTTGGAAATAAATTAAAGTGTTCAGATGTACAAAGATACATACGGTATATGAAAACTTAAAAAAAATGTAGCAAACACCAAATACTCTCTTTACCTCTGTTATTAGAAGAAAGGGTTAAATCTGTGCAATTTGGATCTAACAGGGCACTGATAAGAAGTGTACAAGTTCTTAATTTTTGTAAGATGACATTCCAAAAAGTGTAAAGGTAGAAAGTATACATAAACCAAATGACTATGTGGATATTTACAATGAACTGTAATGATACTACAATGATTTAATAAAAAATGCAGCTGTGTGTCCTTAACCGGCATAGGTATTAAGTATTTTGCTTAGAAATCAGATACGCACCTGCTGGTGAGTGGGCTGTTAACTCTTTCTTCAAATTCCTGCCTTGGTGGCTTGTAAATGCTGCTATTGCTCAGAGCCTTGTCAGGACTCTGTGACTTTTCTGAGTAGATTATAGTTGCAGTTTCATCTGGAGCGCCGCCTGGAACACTTTTTACCTAAGAAGAAAAATAATTATAAATGAAAAGATGATGATGCATGAAGCCTTGAAAGGTTAAACAAACTGTGTTCCATTCAGATGGTGGGTGGGCCCTAACTCGCCTGCCCTTGGCAGCCAATCACACTCCATCTTCCCCAGCTACTTGGGATGGGCCCTCACCACCACCAGACAGTGACCTCTTACAACAATCCCTCACCCGGAAACACGTAATGCATTGTGCGGCTGCTGCCTTGTGACCCACTCTTGCAGACGTGCAAGAGATTGCAACAGATATTATGAATATTTTCTCTGCTTCATTCTGAGGGCTTGTTCACACCAAATGCAGACCAGATCTGCATGAGTTTCTGCACATGCAGTGCCGTGTGCTTTTGCCGAGTTCCAAGCCGTTTTTGTAAAAATAAAAAAAAATGCGTTTGCATGCGTTCCAGAGCAGGAAAAATAGGGCTTGCTGCAGTTTTTTTACATGCTCTGGAACTGAATGCTGCAGTGTGAACTAGAGCCCAAAATACCACTGGAATACATGGGATGCAGTTTTGTTCCGTTCTGTAACTGTTCTACTCTGCACCTGCACTGCACTTGGTGTGAACTAGCCCTCAGAGCAGCTCTCTGCAGTACATTCTTTCAGTAGGTCTCTGTTATTCATAACATGCCTCGGATCAACAATATCAGGGTGAGAGGAGTTCCTGAATTGGTTGCCGATGAACAACTCAGACCAACAATACAAGAAATATTAAATAAACCTCTTGATCACCCAGCTGAATCATGGATGGAATTCAACAGGATCTATCATGAAGGAGGAATTTCTACAATATGCCCATAAGAATGTCAAGATCACCTTCAATGAAGAAAGTAAGCAACTCTTCTGAGACCTGTCCTTCATAACATTGCAAAACAGGAGAACCCTTTGTCCTGTCCCCAAGTACTACGGGACAGAGCCATTTACAAAGCCCTAAAGATGCCTTTTTTTTAATTCGGCCTGATCTCATTGGCCATGGGTAGAATGTACCTCCTCTACACCTTGGAAGACCTACCGGTTTTGTTTTCAACCCTGCATATCCCCGTAGTCAATCTGCCAAATTAGTAAATGGACTTCCAGCTCCGTGCCTCTGATTTTCAAGAAAGAGCAATGCTGTCCACCTCCCTAAGCACACCACTGCTCAAAGGACACAAGGTTCCAGAGAAAACCTCTCCATCTAGTCGAGGAAGCAGAAGATCTGTCTTGCAACCTGTATGTTTGAAATCCCCATTCACAAAAGTTTAATTCAAGACCAATCTTGTTTATTTTGCTTACCTGATCTCTAAAGCTTCAACATATTCCTATTCTCTGTGTGACTGAAAGTCCAAACTAGGAAGCAACAACTTGTATATTCCCTGAAGCTTTTCAACCCCTCATTAGTGAAATCAGTGCAGGGGGGACAAAAATATAAACTAATATACTTGATCCAACTCCAGGAAACCGTTTTTTTTTTACAACAACAGTTTTAATCCTTTTTCCATGACTTTTGTTTATCTGTGCCTTTTGCAGCTAACCCATGGCATGATCTCAGTCCTGGACTATTACATGCAGAACTCAGGATTCATGTATTTAAGCTTCACCAATCACTGAACCTGTCAGAAAGACTCAGCACCAGACAGGGCAGCCATCAGGGGGGTATGGCCAGTACTCATGTACAGTTCAGTTGGTAAGGTCCCCCTGTATGATTGGTACCTTCCCGAGTACATGCGTGCAGGAAGGTTTTTTTTTTCATTTTCAGGAGGCGGAGCTTTTTTTTACCAGACAGAAGCACTGAAGAGCAAGGCGGGAGCAAAGCACAGCTGCTGGAGTGGAACCGTAAGTTTTTTCAAGCAGATGTCCCGGGGGGGGGTGGGTGATGGGGACAGCATT